CATATACAAACAAAAATCTATGCAAATTTCAATGCAAAAAATTTACATAAATAAAATGATTAATCATTACAATTCCCCCAATCTGGACCAAGTTACAGATTTTCTCTCACTTAAACAACTTTCAAAATAAAGTGCTCTGTGACTGGAAAGAGGAAGAAATAGTAAACTTAAAATGAGTTGCTGTATGCAACAAAACAGGTGTCATTTCCAACTATATTTATAAACGGTAATTTTTTCCCCCTAACCTTATTAAATGTCATCTTTCACATCAAATTCTTTTTAATTAATTAATTAATTCAGTTAGAATACGAAACTGTAGAGTTGTTAACATTCAAATGAAATTAGTATTAACAATCTACTTCTGAGGATTCAGTTAGAATACGAAACTGTAGAGTTGTTAACATTCAAATGAAATTAGTATTAACAATCTATCTTTCCACTTCTGAGGAAACAGAAGCTGCATCTGAAGTGGCATTAGATGAATTTAAACAGAGTTTGATGAAGCTGAGGTGCAATAAATGCATTTACATTGCAAAATTTCAAATACATAATTTTATAAGATTAAAGGGGTCATATGACGTTGCTAAAAAAGAAAATGTTGTGTATTTGGTGTAATGAAATGTGTTTAAGCGGATTAAGGTTAAAAAAAAATTTCCACATACTGTACACTGTTTCTCCTCTATGCCCCGCCTTTCGTAAACTCGTAGATTTTTACAAAGCTCATCGTTCTGAAAAGCGAGGTGTGCTCTGATTGGCTAGCTATCCAGTGCATTGTGATTGGCCGAATACATCAAGTGTTTGAAGGAAATGATAAGCCCCTTACCATATGATGCCGTGTAACGACCGGAGAGATGAGACAAAACCACTAAACGAGGCATTTGTTGCATCCAGTGGGGACATAAGTACTGATTATAATGAGTTATACGGTCTTCTGCATCGCGCCGCGTAAACAAAATTATGTCTGCATTTGTGATCGGATAAACGACAAACAACAAGCGCTACTCTACACTGCTCAAAACTCGTGTTTGAATCAGTGGCAAATCCTTTAAATATGAAAGTGTACTTACAGACTGTGAGTCAGCATTATTTGTCAGAACACCGGCATTGTAGGCTACTCTCCCAGGAAACAGTTTTTGTCCTCCGTAAAATGCATTGTTCACATCTGAATATTTGGGTTGGAACTGTTCTGGAACAGTGTTGTAAATACAACTTAACCACTGATTTCTAGTTGTGTCCTCTTTTGGAAGCCCAAACAAAGTAGTTTCACTTTCACAACGAAGCACACAGCGTCTCCACGACATGGCGGCAACAAAACTACAGTGAGAATCAAAGTTACTTTGCGTGACCATTTGTGCGGTGTTCTGCAAATCTTCCCACACAGTGACGTAGACATGTGGGGGCGTGTTTAAACGAGGTATTTTAGGAGGGCGTGGACGAGTCTTAACTTTTATAAAGAATATCTCTTTGGGTTTGAGACTTTAATCTTTGCAACTTTAGTGATCTTATCTATTCACGAACAGCTTAGAGAAAGGAAAACTTGAAATCGCATCATATGACCTCGAATCTATGAGAGATTTATTTTATTTGTTTTACTTATTTATTTGATTTGGGACTTGTTTTAAAATTTCAATGTAGTTTTGTTATTTACATTTAAATTGTCATTTAGCAGACACTTTTGTCCAAAGCGACTTACAAATGAGGACAATAGAAGCAATCAAAACCAACAAAAGAGCAGTAATATGCAAGTGCTATATTAGTATATTATTATAGTGTTATATTTCAATTTCACAAAGAAATGTGCAGCATTTTGTCCAAGCAATAATAAAAGGACACATTTAATTTATAATTCGTCTTAAATCTCATTTTGTAAAAAAAATAAAAAAAATAAATCGTGAATCGAAAAATCTAAATCGTGAGTTGAGTGAATCGTTACATCCCTAGTAATACTGGATCATTTTCCTGAATAAATAAATTACAAAGTATATATTTTCATCTCATTTGTTTGATTGGGTTCTCGTTGTCAACCTTCAGGACTTGCATGAAAATCATCAGATTTTCTGGGTTATATTCATGAAGAAATCCTAAGGGGTTCACAAACTTTTAAGCAGCACTGTATATGTATGCATGTATGTATGTATGTATATATATATATATATATATATATATATAAAATATAAAGTACATAATGTAAAACAAAAACAAAGCCATAATTCCAATACATACATGGACTCTTCCTGACTCGGAGTATACTGTGAAAAGGATGTGGTGTCCAGGGAGACATCCAGATTATTATACAGTGCAGGAATGTCAATCCTTATGCAAACAAATATCAAGGCAGAATTTAGAGTCAAGACAGGAAAAACATCAGTCTTGACTATTTCTTATTTTCAAAAAGCTTAAAGAAGCTTAATGATGACATGACCACAGAGACATCACTAGGATTCACATAAAATGAAAGGGAAAAAAGCTGCCTTCACAATTTTAGAGATCTGCTACACCACAAAAACTGTGACCAAACCTACCTTTTAGTCCTTTTGACCTCTTTCTGGTGCTCAGTTAGCACTCTCTCCTTTGTCTCAGGGGGAATAAAAACAAAATCCACTGATGCCGCCTCCTCAATAGCTTCTCGCTTCAAGGGCTTGGGTGATCCAAAATCCAGCTTTACCTAAAGAGGCAACAGGTGAATTGAGGGACCTGGTTGCTAATTAAGAGCCACCATTGATATTTTCATGTTTTGATGCATTCTCACATGACTTACAGACACCGGCTTTGCTGCAGTTGCAGAGCCTCTTCCTTTAAGCTCTTCTGCCCTCGCCAGAAGAGAGTCCCTCTTTCCCACAGAGGTCATTTTTACCCCACTGATCTGTGGGTCCAGCTGAGAACTCTCACCCTGATTAGAGAACAACACGTTTAGAACTCGCTTAGGAACGAAAGAAAAACCAACATGTTTGACGGAGCTAAATTTACTGTTTACAGTTCTATGTTCTTTACATATTACATCACAGTAGGGACAATCATTTGCGCTGAACGAAACACTGAACGTACCGTATACTGTCCACTGCAATCATCTGGTGCATCAACGGCTTCAAAACCAGGTAAAATCAGTGGAGTCTTTTGCTTAGCCTGACTTAAAACAGACCTGGGGGGTTAAAAATTTATTAAGACAAGCATACTTGCTGAAATAAAGATCTGAAAAATGTGCCTATAATACATTTTACACAAAAATTCCCAACAATGGCATGAAAACGTACTTGAGAGGCTCAGGGTAAGTCAAGGTGAGTGCATTTCCAAAGGTGGCATTCCAGAACTGCGTCACCACAGTACGAATTTGCTTGCTCTTGTGCGGAAAAAGCACACAAAGCAAGGGCGACAACATGGCAAGCATCTCATCATCATGCAGAGTTGATTGCATCTGAAGGCAGCCAAGCAGGTCCGTGGCCAGTTTCTCCAACTACGAGACAGATAGCAAATAAATAAATAAATAAATATCCCTAACTCTACATATGTGACCCTGGACCACAAAACCAGTCATAAGGGTATATGATCAAAAATCTTTAAGATATTAAGTAAAGATCATGTTCTATAAAGGTATTTTGTAAATTTACTACCGTAAATATAAAAACTTAACTTTTGATTAGTAATAATATGCATTGCTAAGGACTTAATTTGGACAATTTAAGGCGATTTTCTCAATGTAGATTTTTTTTGCACCCTTAGATTCCAGATTTTCAAATAGTTGTATCTCAGCCCAATATTGTCCTATCCTAACAAATATCATACATCAATGGAAAGCTTATTTATTCAGCATTCAGCTATATAAATCTCAATTTAAAAAAATGGACCCTTATGGCTAGATTTGTGTTCCAGAGTCACAAATAAAGAGACTACACATCAGACCTGTGGTTTCGATTTCAAATTCACATGGTAATTCTTACCTTGGGTCCTAGTGTCGCACTGAGCTTTGATGGTTCATCATGACTTTCATAAAAGAAAAAAAAACAGTGTTAAGACAATGAAAAAAAGAATGCTCAAAGTATGAAGGATAAGAAAATGTCACACACCTCGAGACCTGTTTAAAAAGGCGCGCGAGTGATTTGGTGAGGGTGGATAGCACCTCTTGAATGAACGTGGGTAGAGTGATATTAGTGAAAAGTGTTGACAAGATAGAGACCAGCGTCAAGCCAATCCCACTGAAAACTCCACTGGTGGACTCTACAGATGCTTCCAAGAGGTCCACAGACAGGAAAGCATCTAAAGTCTGCATCAGGAGAGTGTGAAAGGTCGAGAGATTCCCCAGAGCTTTGCTCCTCTTGCGTACCCAACTCAAAGGTGTATGAGGAGCTATGAATATGAACATGAAAAAAAATAGTGACAGTGCCATTACACAACTTTGGCCACTTGAAACTGAAGCAAAAGCCTTACATTTCATCTTCTGCTGGAACTGTGGGGTGTAAGGAGAGAAGTCCATACTCTCAATGATGACCAGCAAGATATTTGCCATTGCATCTAACATCGGCAGATTCTAAAACGACAACAAAAAATATATTACATAGATAAATTAATACTCCAATTAGGTGCACAACTGAATAAATCTTCCACTTTACTACATAGTTGGAAAGTTCATACTTTCAGAGCGACGGTGTCAAGAGAGGCAGAGATCTTGCCACACAGCTCTTCACAGCATATGTTCTCCTCTGCTGTGGCTACCAAAGCTGAACAGCGAGCAAACGCCTTGTAAAGCCTGGACCACGTACCGATCATGGCCTTCTGAGTGGTCTATTAAAAAAAGTCAATGTCATATGAAGCATTTGCATAATACTGCCCGAAAGCATCTGCAATGTAGCCAAAATGATCTCTTACTTGGGGTAGGGGCGAACCAGACAGCAGGTGAATAACTGGGAACATCAAGGCACTGCAAATGGCACTGAAGTTATGCTCCAGAGCATCTCCTTGATTCACTTCATTGGTCTGTGTTGGAACGATGATTTATCGCTTAGTGAAATACGAGGTTTGACTGGCACTGAAATGCACATTCATTCTACAGCACTGATGATCTGAGTTTAATACCCGAGTGATGGTGTCCGTCAGAGGGTTTACCACCGCGCTCCACATCCTCCAGAGCTGTATCTTGCTCTTAACAGCCTCCACACGACCACTAAGCGCTCCTAAAACAGCCTCTCCAAATGCCAGGGGCGATGTAGGTCCACAAAACCCACAGCTCACAAGGGTTTCCAGGCTTGAAAAAAACCTGCCAGATGCAAGAAAATGTTGCCCCAGTTAAGCAAACAAACTCAATGGAAACCGAAATATGAGTAGTATCGCTCTTTTAAAAGGTTTATTGCAAAAAATCTCTGGAACAAAATACTTATTTTGCAGGATTTATGCTTACCTCTCATCTTCAAGAAAGGATGAGAGCTGGTTACTCTTGTAGAACAGCAGTATTAGGAAAAGTGCAGGGGTACCCTGGAAAAGATGTAGAGAATCTCAATTTGTTGAGAAATTTAGCAAGGCTTCACAATAAGGGCTAAAAAGGCACTTACATTTAATACATCCATGTTTGCCACTTGATAAGCTGCGGAACCGAGCACCTTCTGAGGTATTCCCTTAACAGTGGCTTCCAACAAAAGCTGCAGCAAATAATGAAATATTGAAAATGTGTTCAAACAGCAGGGTTGAAATCAACAACCTATAGAACCTTTTAGATTACCGGTAATACACAAAAAAAAAACTAAAAAACAACCCCAGACATTTGAACTTTAAAGCTTTTAAAGTGTCATGGTCACCAAGGCTACATTTATGATTAAAATACAGTAAAACAGTAATAGTAAAACCGTTCTCATTTAAAAATTAGGGATGCACCGAATGTTCGGCAACTGAAATTATTTGGCCGAAACTAGCAAAAAAGAAGCTATTTTGGTGTTCGAATAAGCGAAAAGACTGAATAAATTGTACCGAACAATGATATGACGCGATCAAATAGCAACCAGCGCAGAGTGAGAAGCGCGCACTCTTTATTATGCAGCATACACGCCAGCAGTGTGGAAGCATTTAAACTGTCGGACAAAGACGCAAAAATCATTACAAGCACCAACAGCGAGAGACTGTTTAGGACTGCATCGCATGTCTTCAATAAGAAGAGGAAGGGGTGATTGTTGCTGGTTACTATATGATAATTGAAATCGCGAAATGGCCTTAATTAGTAAATAAACTGCAGAATGTTGTTTTCTAATACACACACACATTGAATGTATTCTGACAGCGCAGCACGAACTTGCAGATCTGCTTGTTAACCAGGGTTCAAAGTACAAAGTGCGAGGAAAATCTGCGCTGATACAGTCGTCCGTTGCTCAGTCACATTTTTATTAATTTTTACAATGCATGTGACAATGCGATACTTAGGACGTATTCGTAATGAGACTCATTTATAAATTTGTCGTCAACAAAAATAAGCATTGAGGTCTTCCTGCGCATTTCCGCCAAAATAAAAGTCGAGAAAGCAAGAACTCTTATCAACATTCATAAATGTTAGTATTGTAATTTTACTGTTGTTCTGTAAAATGTAAGACAATAATAATAATCATTACAACAGCTGTTTTAATACATTATAACATTCACAGTATTCAAATTATGATCTGTAATATTTTCTAATGTTTTAAAAGAAGTCTCTTCTCAGCAAGGCTGCTTTTAATTGTACAATAAAAAAAAAATAAAATGCCTGATTCAAGAAGGGGGTCTTGATGGCCAAAAATTATTATTTTACTAACTTATTAATTTTAAGTTAAATTGTGCTTTGTTGGTATAGTGTCTGCTAGAATGTTAAAAATGTTCAGTGTTAAATATTTTTAAATTGTTTTATACCGTAATTGATTTTTTTTCTTTGAAAAGACAAAACAGTAAAAAACACATTTTGGCTTTTTAATTTATGCAATGGTGAAATTTTTTTTTTGGCAAAATACATGGGGGAAAAACTATTTTTCTTTGAAAAGCAAGACAAAACAGTAAAAAGCACATTTTGGCTTTTTAATTTATGCAATGGTGAAATTTTTTTTTTGGCAAAATACATGGGGGAAAAACTCAAGAGTTCGGTATTCGGCCTTAGGCCCAGTGTTTAATTTTGTTCGGTTTCGGCTTTGGCCAAGAATTTTCATTTCGGTGCATCCCTATTAAAAATGTAATTTATTCCTGTGATGGCAAAGCTGAATTTTCTGCATCCATTACTCCTTTCTGATTCTTCAAAAATCATTCTAATATGCTGACTCTGACATTTTTTTCAGGATTTTTTTCTTTTTGATGAATAGAAAGTTATTTTATCGAGTCCAAACTTTTGAAAGGTAGTATAATTTTAAGCATGCCAGACTGCATCTTCGTTGGCTAACACTTTCAGCACCCAAGTCATTTAGCAGGTCATTTTCACCATGAAGTCCCATCTTACCAGGGCACATTCAGCAGGTAGATCATCTGAGGACTGGATGGACTGCAAAGCCTGTAGAAGCAGCGTGAGAACCTCTGACCCCTGTCTTTCCTTCTTATTACCTGTTGACAGGAAAACTTTCCAGATTACTATGAGCCAGTATCCACAACACAAAGTATCTGTGCAAATTATCTTTTACTTTCTAAGAGAGAGCAAATGCTAACATACCAGCTTCTATTGTTGTGCTGACAGAACAGATCAGGTTGCTCCAAATGAGACTAAGCAGCGCTTCTGTGGAAAATAAACACTCATATCAGGTGATGAATATGGACAGCATCAGCATTTCTTTCATTTCCTAATGGTCTAAATAATAATAATAGACCGTTGCTTCCAAGCAGGCCAATAAGAGAAACCGCTAAGACAATTTAAGTTGGCCTCTTAAATCCAGGCTACATTGTGCAGATTATGTTGAATACCTGGAGCATGTTTTCCCACAGTAATGAAGCCTTCTTTGATGGCTGATATGAGGGTGGAGGCATGTCTACTGAAGGAGGAAGGGCTGGTAAAGAGCGGGTGCGTCAGGGGCTCTGGAAACAAATGGTACACTGACACTGTTAACATATAATTACAATAATAAGGTTCAATATATCAAGCTGTATTAACAGGGTCCATATACATTTTAACCAATACATTTCCATGACTTGAGACAAATATCTATGATCTAGCTTCGCAGTTAAATTAAATGTGAGCAGATAAAATGTTTAACAAATATTATCATTTATTTATCATATAAAAACTTTCTTAGTTTCACTTTTCCATGACTGGGAATTACCAGACTTTTTCAGATTTTTCATAAGTGTACAAACTCTAGGGATGCTCACTACGGTTAATTTTCCTGACCGACAACCGCTGCTTGTTATCTGAACATTAACCATTAACTGACAAATTTAGAATAATAAATTAGTATTAAATAAAAACAGAATAGACAAGCATCTGTAATGACGCATTAAAAATACTAACAAATATTTTATTTTAATGGTGCAAACAGCAGCATGGCAAAAACACAATCACAAAAATCCCATCAATTTGCGGTTTGGTACTTTTCTTCCACTGGTAATACGTTTCTATTCACGGCGTGTTTGCAGCAGCGTTGAGCTCTACACGTTCTACACGTTCGTAAATTCTCTCATTAAAACAAAGTGTAGACATGATGTAAATAAGAGATTAATTGTGCAGTGTAACGCTTCTTTGATTATTTTTAATTAACTTCACAATGATCTACAGTAAGATGAGAGATTATGAGGGGAGCGCCCATTGCGCAATAGGCTATAATCCACTCAGAATTTACATACATTCACTCACGGATTCCCTCTCTGATAACCATTTATCCAATATTGCCACTTGCCATTGTTTTACATATACATCAGTTAACTAAGTGAAGGTGAAGCAGGTCCTTGCTCAGCGAAATATGCCTGTATGCACGCTGTACGCAAGTAAACAAATACTGTACGTATAGCATTATTTTTTCTTACCATGCAGCAAACTTAATATTTGCGGGGAAAAAAGTACCAAACGGTCAATATGAGCATCCCTACTGTATTAACATATGAACATCTATAGATTACTAATCAAATGGCACTCACATTAACTTTGTACAGACTCAAGTTGGACCCACTTTAACTCAGAATCACTGATTTAAAAAATAAATAAATAAATAAAAAACAACATTAAAAGCTCTTGACAATACTATATGTATGATTACCCAGACTGAGCTGAAGATTTTCTCTAGCTGCTGTGACTGTAACCTCTGGACCCACAAGCCAGTGCAGGAGCATCTCTAGACCCAGGAGCTGAATGGAGCGGTAGGACTGAGCCGCCTGCATACTGCTGTTCAGATTCATGCGAGGAGTAGTGCTTGGTGTGCTGCAGGAGGGAATGCCTGGAGAACAGAAAGATGAAGCATTAAGTTTAAAAAAAAAAAAAAATGTAGGGTGGGGATTTGATTCTATCCATCAGCTGTTGACTGGATGGAGGCAGATCTGAGCTTGCAGTTGAGTGTGGAGAGGGAGGATTTAAGCTAAATGATTGAAGTAGTCCAGTAAACATCACTAGAGAGAAGGCTGTCAGTGCGGAAGATTGACTTTGATGGACAAATTGAAAAGTAAGATTTATAAACAAGAACTTAGAAAATATATGGGGTGAATTGCCACTTCATGCTGAATTTAAAGGATGTAATCTCATTGTATCCCCTTTATAAAATGAAAGCACAATGAGAGGAAGTGAGCTGTACCTGATTTAGAGGTGTTAGGGGTGCCACTGCTTGGGTTAGAGGTTCGAGCAGGTGTAGTTGGGCTTGGCAGTGGAGAATCGGAAGGAAGTGTGTTGTGCAGTAGAGGTACACCAACCTTTAAGAGAGAGTGATGGAAAGTAGGGATAGAGATATAACATTGCTCTCAGTAACTAGTAAGACCATGGCCATACAACGGTTACAACTATCTGAAAGCACCAAAAAGCATTATTCATCAATGTAAACAGTGAAATTTACCTGTTCAAAGTTAGCGGACAAATTGGGTCCGAGCTTGACTGCAAGGTACCACCACACCTCCAGCTTAGTGAGCAGAAGAGCTTCAGTCCTGACTTGGATGGAACTAAGAGGCTGCATGAGGAGCTTTAGACGCTTGCTGCTGCACAGGATATCTGCTCAAGAGAAACCATTACAACTTAGAAAACAACAGCTGAGAAAAAGCAAAGAGGTAAAAAAAAAAAAAAGCCTTGAACTATTGCTATATGGGTCCAAAAGGTTCCCACATCTTTTGACCAATGAATTTCCATCTCATCTGAGGTTACTGAATAAGCATTTTTAAACATTCACTCCAAAATGCAATTTTATCCATACCTAGAGAAACATAAAAACAACTTCATTTTAATGACTTTCCACAAAGCAAACTATGTAATTCTCTGATGTTCCTATGTTTTCAGTGACTGTGACCATTACACCTAAATACAAAGGGAAAAAAATAAACTTGCCTGGATTAAGTGCGAAATTATCAATGAGGCTCTTCCAAGCTATGAAGGCAATCTTCTTAATATTAGGAGAAGAGTTGCGGAAACCCAACTCCTCTAAATACAGCAAGGAATTAATGAATGCACCGCCTTTGTGGAGCAACTGAAAGGAGACACATACAATAGAAACCCATACTTGTCCAAAATGACAATCTCAAGATTCAGAACTGAAATAGTGATGAGCATTATTTGGTGACCAAATATCTTACCTTCCCCAGAAGTCTCACAAACAAGGGCCAGAGCTTCAGCATATTCGTCTCATTTTTAGATGCAAACAGCTTCTGCATTTCAGGGATAAGCATCTAAAGGCAGCAAAGCAATAGAAGCATTATGGTTATTTATATTATAATTAATTAGTTACATTTATATAGCACTTTTCAGGGTACTCAAAGCGGTTTTACATGAAAGCGGGGGGAATTTCCTCAACCACCACCAGTGTGCAGCTTCCACCTGGATGATGCGACGCCAGCCATAGTGCGCCAGAACGCCCACCACACACCAGCTTATTGGTGGAGAGGAGACAGATTGATGAAGCCAATCAGTGTATGGGGATGATTAGGAGGCAATGATGGTCAGAGGCCAATGGGCAAATTTGTCCAGGATGCCGGGGTTATACCCCTACTCTTTTTCGAAGGACATCCTGGGATTTTTAATGACCACAGAGAGTCAGGACCTCGGTTTAACGTCTCATCCGAAGGACGGTGCTTTTTACAGTATAGTGTCCCCGTCACTATACTGGGGCGTTAGGACCCACAGACTGCAGGGTGAGCACCCCTGGCTGGCCTCACTAACACCTCTTCCATATATCAGGGTTTCTGCAGATATGAACACGTTAAATTTAAGACTTTAAGACCTTTTTAATACCACCTTATATGAAATTTAAGACCTAAACCTGTAATGGAAATACACATTTTATTACATACATATATGTAATATTTAATGTGTATAAATTAAAAAGAAAACAAAGTATCATTGCTATCCAGTGAAGTTTTCATATCAGCAGACAATATTCTATACAAAATATCCCCGCAAAATAACTGCATCACTGAGATTTTCGGTGGAGTAAATTTATTCTGAAGCAATATTTTCATCAGTGTTCTATCAGCTTTTACATACTTAAATCTGCATATTAACCTTTACAAAGGCCTATTTTTAGATGGTAACCATGGGTTTTGTATTTTGGAGTTTAAAGAACCAAGAGCGTTCACCTGTTTAGCGTACAGTTTTTAAAAAAAAAAAAAAAAAAAAAAAAACTCACATTTGTATATGGTAATTTTTGGAGGAAAAAAAATGCACTCTTCCGTGTGAACTTGATTAACTATATGAAGTGGTATAAATGCACATTTTCTGCCCCCATGTCTTGAATTTGTGATCATTCTGAATGTATTTTAATAGACTGAATCATGCTATAAAAGAGCTCACTGTAAATGCGCACACGCACAAGACTTCACGTAATGTGCACTCTGTAAGTTAGTTTTTTTTTTTGCGTCGTGAGAATATTGAGCAAAATAGCTCACTTGTCATGGTGTTATTTAACTATATCATGTTATGAATAAACTAAACATTTAGAATTTTTACCTCAGTGTGCTTCTTCTGAGTTTATGTATGCTGTTATGCTCATTTGTTCTGAAGTCTCGAGACAAACAGTGAGCCTCAGCGCGATCTTGTATTCTGTATTCTGCTAACTTGGAAGAAAAAAATCTTCGGTCTGTCCAATGATTGTAATATGGTAATTTTTGGAGGAAAAAAAATGCACTCTTCCGTGTGAACTTGATTAACTATATGAAGTGGTATAAATGCACATTTTCTGCCCCCATGTCTTGAATTTGTGATCATTCTGAATGTATTTTAATAGACTGAATCATGCTATAAAAGAGCTCACTGTAAATGCGCACACGCACAAGACTTCACGTAATGTGCACTCTGTAAGTTAGTTTTTTTTTTTGCGTCGTGAGAATATTGAGCAAAATAGCTCACTTGTCATGGTGTTATTTAACTATATCATGTTATGAATAAACTAAACATTTAGAATTTTTACCTCAGTGTGCTTCTTCTGAGTTTATGTATGCTGTTATGCTCATTTGTTCTGAAGTCTCGAGACAAACAGTGAGCCTCAGCGCGATCTTGTATTCTGTATTCTGCTAACTTGGAAGAAAAAAATCTTCGGTCTGTCCAATGATTGTAAAGTTATCAACCTTTTTCTTCAACGCGGAAGTAAGCCTATGGGTGAGACTTCCGGTTCATTAACCGCTATAGGTAAATAACGAGGAGAATAACAACGTGCAGTAAACGGTAAAACTGTTTGCACTACAAACCAGTGTGTTCATAATTTCAGATAATACATTAAAATAATATGATAAGACACACCAACTTTCAATATCAAGCAGCAAAACGAACTGTTTTGTTCAGCTAAAAATAGCTGGACGGAGTGGACGCAGATGAAACCGGAAGCCATACCCATATATTTTCCAAATGGCCGCGCCCATTTTTACGACAAGAAAAAGGTGGATAAAGTTAAGATATTTTAGCAGTAATGAGACCAAAAAAATTTAAGACCCATCAAATCCGAATTTAAGACATTTTAAAAGACTTTTTAAGGACCTGCGGACACCCTGATATATGCACAACAAAATAAACTAACGTATACACTTACAGAAGACATCATTGGCTCTACAATGGTTGCCACCTCCTGCTGTTTCTCCAGAAGAAGAGGCATGCCCAGCTCCAGGGCTGCTGCGGCACGCAAGCGCACTTTATTGGCCGAGTGAACCACCAGAGGAATAACCAGCTTGGCCCAGCACACGGCTCCAGCAGCCATCTGAGACGGGGCCTGCTCCAGCAACCTGACATTCACCAAAAAAAAAATCCTTTTAAATAAACCTTATTTACGGAGCACCTCCATATGAAGAGCACTGCAAGACTGCACTACCAAGAAGGAGAAAAGTATGGGAAATTTCAACAAACCTTATTATGACATTGAGTGATTCATGTTCAATGAGGATCGACTGAACCTCTCTGGTCTGCATGGCCTCTAGACTCTTCAGAATCTCAGGGGTCTGAAATGTAAAAAGCAACATTTTTAACCACACACAAAAAAAAAAAAAAATTTTTGGAGGGGTAAAGGATGCTAAAAATAGGGTTTATTTCAAGCACAACATGCATGGTAAACAAACCTTTTTGGATGCCACCTCTGGCGGGAAATTCTGTTTTGAAATCACCCATAACGCTCGAGTGCACGTAAACTTTTCTTTTGATTTTACCACAACATTACAGAGCGTAGACAGTATATCTTCTGAAATATTTGCTGCAGCAAAAAAAGATAAAAAGATTATGGATGCTACTTCTCATGGAAAGTAATAAGTATATTATACTAAAGAATTCAACTTTTTCCTCTACCTGGTAAGACTGAAACAATGTGTGAGTGGAAGACACAGAATCCCAAAGCTTGCAATGCGGCTTGACACAGCTCTTCGTTCTCACTGGAGATATGAACCTGAAAGAAAAAATTATTCATCTGCAGGGCTGATGACACAGCAGAGACATAGCTTTCTGAAAGAATAACTTCTGCCTATTCATAATAATTACAAAATGTATAAAATAAATAAAATAAATAAATATATACAGTGGGTACGGAAAGTATTCAGACCCCCTTAAATTTTTCACTCTTTGTTATATTGCAGCCATTTGCTAAAATCATTTAAGTTAATTTTTTTTCCTCATTAATGTAAACACAGCACCCCATATTGACAGAAAAACACAGAATTGTTGACATTTTTGCAGATTTATTAAAAAAGAAAAACTGAAATATCACATGGTCCTAAGTATTCAGACCCTTTGCTCAGTATTTAGTAGAAGCACCCTTTTGATCTAATACAGCCATGAGTCTTTTTGGGAAAGATGCAACAAGTTTTTCACACCTGGATTTGGGGATCCTCTGCCATTCCTCCTTGCAGATCCTCTCCAGTTCTGTCAGGTTGGATGTTAAACGTTGGTGGACAGCCATTTTTAGAGACATACCTCTCTCACCAAGGCTCTTCTCCCCCGATAGCTCAGTTTGGCCGGACGGCCAACTCTAGGAAGGGTTCTGGTCGTCCCAAACGTCTTCCATTAAGGATTATGGAGGCCACTGTGCTCTTAGGAACCGTAAG